AATTCCAAGTAAACACATTGATGACCCTATTGATAACCCTAACGTAAACCGAGCTGATTATAGACAACATTCCTCGCCTGCTCTGTGGTTGTTCTTTCATCGCCATTTTGAACTTAAATGTGTCTGGCTCCACACACCATTGCAGCCCAGTGAAGCTCACCTCTATCCAGATCCAGTTCTTTCAAGTCATTCGCTCTGTGCTCCTTTTCAGTGATTTGCAGTACTGCCCGACTATTACTGATCTACTTTGTCAAAGTGAAGCCTCCCCTTTGGCAGATTTTGGTGAGAGCTTGAACCATGGCAACTGTCTACCTCATCTGAGCGCGAGCTCTTCAGACAGTCATCAACATAAAAATTTCTTCTGACCGTTTCCACAACCTCTAGTGAGAAGTTAACCTGATTGTCCTCTGCAGCTCTTCTGAGTGCATAACTGGCACAACTTGGGGAAGAGACAGCCCCGAACAAATGAACTGCCATTCGAAATTCTTCCATCTCTTGGTTCACATTGCCCTCAGGCCACCACAAGAAGTGTAGGAAGTTCCTGTCCTCTTCAGCCACCCTAACTTGGTAGAACATAGATTTAATGTTTCCCATAAATGCCACTGGCTCCTTTCTGAATCTGGTTAGAACACCCAACAGTGAACTAGTGAGGTTTGGTTAGCAGCTGGCTGTTGAGTGAAGTTCCCTGAAACTCAGCTGAACAGACTGACACAACACTCAATGTACCCTTTTTGGGATGGTATACACCATGATGGGTATATACCAGAGCTTTCCATTTTCACCTTCCAGCTGATGTTGAGGCACTTTCTCTGCATAGCCATTCTCAATTACATCAGTGAAGAAGCTGGTATATTCCTGGTGGAATAGTTCATCCTTCCTGAACCTCCCCTTTGATCCCAGCAGCCTTTACTTAACCATAGAAAGGTTGTTAGGAAGCGAGAGCTGGTCCTTTCTGAAGGGCATTTTCAAGCTGTAATGTCCATCCTGCAGCTGTGTTGACTCATCTATCATCTTTAAGTACCAAATTTCTTCTCTTGACACTCCTTGCTCCTCTGAACTTCGCTCATTGAAGTCATGACTGTATTGGTTGCTCAGCATTTCCTCCAGCTTACAGACAGAAATCCTATTGTCAGCAGCCACTGAGAACCCTGTTATAGGCCCTTCGCTCTCTCCATCCCAAAGGGGACCATTAACTACCCAGCCAAGTACAGTTCGTATTGCATATGGGCCATTCTCTCTACTGTTGATGACCTCCCATGGTTCCAATATCTTAGGGGCGTTAGTGCCAGTCAACAGTTCAGCATCAGCATCAATGCATGGGATCTGTACATTAGAAAGATATAGCCATTCTCCTTGTGTGATAATGTCACTGGTGGTCACAGGTATTTTATTTTGTGTGAGTACTTCTGGGAGACTGTAGAAGCTGCTACTGCCAAGACCAGCTACTTCCAACCCATTCAAGGTGCTAGTTGAAAGAACCCTTTCCTGTCCCATAGTGTGCAAAAGCAAACTGGTTTTCTAACAGTAATGTTCAGCCTTTGCATAAGATGCTCTGAGCAGAAAGTAGCCGTACTCCCAGGATCCAGGAACGCATATGTTTGTATTATCTTACTTCCCCTGATGGATTTAACTTGAACTGGCAAGCTAGACAACATGCTACCCTCCTTTCCGGCCCCTGTATGTCCGCAAGTTTCTGATGTAGGTGGTTTAACATGTGCTGTGCCCTTAGTGTGTTCACTTCCTGTGCTGGCTCTTATCTTTCCAGAGATATGAATCTGGTTCTGAGGATGGTTCTGACCACAATCTTTGCAAGTTAAGCACTTGTCGCAATACTTGCTCCTGTGTCCACTACACAGGCAGCCAAAACACATCCCCTTTTCCTTCAAAAAGTCAGTTTTGTCCCGATGCTTCTTCTCTTTCAGTTTTGGACACTCTTCCAGTCTGTGAAACTGAGAGCAGCAGACACATGCTTCTTGAATGCTTCCCTTTAAGTCTGGTCTTTGCGGGACTGAGTTTGAGGTTCTACATCCCTTGGCTGCCTCACTTACAGTAACTGTGGCGAAGCTGTTACCTCTGACCTTGCTGAACTTTGAGTATGGCTTGAACTTGTTAACACTCTTTAATGCAGGCACACCACATACTGTGTCTTGCATGTCCCCAAAAAGTGGATCAGAAATGATCTTAACTTGGCGTTCAATAAATGAGACCATATCTTTGAAGCAAGCTCTGTGATTACACCTCTCCAGTATTTCATGTGCCTGTATCATCCATTTTTCTCTGTACTTAAATGGCAACTTTGTCATGATTGCTCTCATGTTAGTTGGCATGTCCAGCTCTACATTGCAACAACTTCGCAGAAATAGAGAAAAGGCTTGAAGCACTCCCACATCCTCTGCCTTCACTGCAGGCCAAGCCAAAGCCTTCTCCATGTGGGCTGCACCAATCCTATTGGTTTCCAAAGTGTTCTTGGAGAAGTTCTTTAGCCAGTTGATAACCTCTGTCAGGAATCATGTGCTGACAACTCCTCACCAATTCTCTGGACTGCCCTCTTGTAAATTGCTCTAAAAAATAAAGGCAGTGAGCTTTGCTAGCCTTTGATTCCACACTATGTTCAAAAGCTCTTATGAAGGTTTTATACTGAAGAGGATCGCCATCGAATGCTAGAATGTCTCGAGAAGGCAAGGGCATTAAGCGCTGTTGTTGAACCAGAGCTGCTGTGATTTCATTTTGTCGGTGCATTATGGTGCACAGATCTCCTTGTATTGGTACAGAATATAAATGCTGTTGCTCCACTGATGCAGGCTGCACATTGTTGACTGGCAGAGAGAGGCTTTGTTGTGTATCTCCATACTGCATCGTTCCAGATGTTTTTGTTTCTTTTTCCTGTTTCCGCTTTCCTCTCATATTTTGCTCCAAAGATCTGCTGTGTTTTTCCCTCAGAGTGTGCATTAAGTGCACTTGAATGATTTTGGGCTACTGCGAAGCCGCTTTGTGGCATTGCACTCCGCGTGTGTGGTTTAAATGAGTTTGCTGCAGGATTGAGTCCTTTAGAATTAGGGTTTTGTTCTTCATTCCTTTCCAGGAAATAATTCATTCCATCAGAAGGTGCTTGTGAGTTACTGGAACATTCTGTGGCAGCTTGAAAAACTACTAACTTTGCAGTGGATGCAGCTATTTCAGCATCAGTCCCGAGCTGCTTCCTTTTTCCTCTCAGCTGCTTTTCCTGGACCTCTAGGAGCATGCCTTTCCTTTAAAGCCGCAGCTCTAGCGAGAAAGGCAGCCCTTTCTGCTTCTGTTTTAAGGCGAGATGAACCTGCAGTTTTGCCACTTTTGTTACTTCTTTTACCACTTTTGTTACTTCTTTTACCACTACATGTGCTTTGTGGGTGAGAATGTCTACTGGCAACATTTGATATGCTGTAATCAGGGTGAACATCATCATCTTTACCACCATCATCACCATCCTCCCCACCATGATAATGTACCAACCATTTTTCAACCTCAGAAATGAAACCATTTTCAACAATCATTTTTGCAGAAAACCAAGTGTCTTTTTTGTCACTTTCTTCAGTGGACATTAAAGGCAACAGAGCCACATGAGCGTCTTTGGCTTGCCCACACAAAAGCACGATTTTTTCCAGTGTGTGTTTGATCTCTTTTACACTACCACTCTGCATAAGCTCTTGAGTTACATTTCTTAGGGTTTTAGCCTTACTTAATTTGTCTTTTCTTATATGTTGTAACTTTCCCACCTTTGCAACAAGAGCTTTGTGTGTTAATGTAATAGACCGTTTACTTTTTGCAGGTTCTATCTCATTAACATCACCCTCTTCCACAGAGGCTGCAGCAGCCAGTGGCTGCGCGTCAGCCACGTCTGGTTTACCGTCCATAATGTCCTATAAGGGCCATTGGCTAGTGAACCTATGGTGGGGAAGTCTAGATTGTCAGCCGATTGTCTGACCCATTTTAGCCAGCTGGTGGCGGTAATGCTCCTTGTACGGTTGAGATCCGCCGTTAAATCGAAGAAGAAGACCAAATTCACCAGGCGAAGAAGAAGACCTGTCTTTCTCTTCCGGGGTGAGTTTAGCTAGAGGTAAACAAACATGCGGTTATGACATTGAAACGTTTTATTAGTGTTCAGCAGCTTTTCATTAGTTTCTTTGCAGTACAGATTAGCTCTTCAACAAGTTTTGAAGCTCAAGTTTAAGGCAGCGAAGGTAAGTTGACCCGACATCACCGGCTGCATGGGGAAACACGTTGAGAGAACACGAGACAAAACTCCCTTCATTTTATTGACAATTTCAAACTCATTTGAGTATTGTTATCTGTACATTTTGATTGGAACATGGAGAACTACTTTATACGGATAATTATGAGCCAATCTTCACTTCGGCATTGATTTAAGAGACCAAGCATGACTTAATTTCAGGGTAATTTCAACCTTAACAGATCGTTAACAAGTCCCACTCCTTATTAATCTACGTTAGCTAAGTTTTAGCTGTTAAATTACATCAAGAATTACATCTATTTGAAAAAAACTAGCGCAGAGCAGATGTATGCCGAATTAACCAGTAGACTTCGACGATTAGAAACTTCTCAAAAGTCTCTTGGTATTGTTCAGTTTGACAAAATGACATTTGAATTAATTTAATTGATTAATTGAATGGAGTTTGGCATCGTTACACGTTTTTTCCGCCACACAGCCTACACTCGGTGGCTGCATTAATTTAGACGTTTTTGAATATATTTTTGAAATAATTTACAAGTGCACATGCTACGTTTATTCATCACAAATGTCTTCATGATCCACAATTTTTTTAAAAAATTCATATGTGCAGATTCAATAATTCCAAATGCCACTGTTTTCATTTTGTATGATCAAGCTTGGAATTTGGTATTCCTGCAAAAACTATTGGAAATATTTGCAGGCTTTTGTCCATATCTGTACATTGTTTCCCTGTTATGCAAAGGGCTGTACTCCAGGAACATTTGTGTTTTCACAAGTGATAAAATAGTTGAGAAATAGTAGTGATTATGATGTATTTCGATTGAAAAATATAGAATAATTTATTTCTAATAGAAAAACAAAATGACACCCCTTAATTACAATAATAAGGGCTTGTGGTCTTTGTAGTAGAAATAATATCAAATATTCCTCCGTTATTGAAACTTATGCAATAAATCTCAAGACGTGCATGTTTTCAACTACTCTTTGATCTTATTATTTTAGTATTTTATTTAAGAACTTGGTCGTGCAAGTTTTTTTTTTTTCCTGTTTGTCATGTTTAGTCTTTTATATTTATGGATTTTACAAGTTATTCTGTCTTGCTTTTTTGAAAATATTATTGTTGTTGTCTGTCCTGTCTGTTAACTCAGGTTCTTTTAAAATGTGTTGTGGAAATAAACTCTATTCGAATATTGGAAATGGACTTTTTCTGCCTCCACATGAGCTCTGGAAGCAGAATAAACCAGACTGTGTTAAACTATTACCTGTGGTTCATTTCCTTGTCCCATCTGTTTCTGCAGGATGGCTTTTCCATGTGTGCGGCTGTGCAGTCGACACGTCAACGCAGGCCTTCAAATCTGTAGTTACGCAACAGTCAGCAAAGCATCCAGACCACAGGAGAAGAGCAGCAGTGGTCCAGTTTTTCAGTATGTTGGCCAGCACAAAAAGCCAACCCACAAAGTGTTTGTGTGGGGCTTCAGCTTCACCGGGGCGCTGGGCATCCCCAGCTTTGTAGTGCCGGACAGTGGCAGGAAAAAGCCTCGCAAATACCAGCTCACTCCTTACCGCCTGGAGACCGCCGAGCAGGTAAAATCAGCTGATCTGAGTTCTATATGGAAGACTTTATGATATTTATTATTGCATTCATAAAGTATCAGTTTAAAATCAGGTTTCATTACAGCCTGAAGAATTGGAGAATTTTCTATTTTCACCACTGGTTTGACTAAAACAGAACACATTTCCATACTTTCAGGCTTGGCTAATTATGATTTCTTATATTTTTAAGAGACTGTGTCTTCTTGATTGAATGAGATATACACAGTTTAGATGCCTTTATTGGTAGAGCCATCCATCCATTCATCCATCCATCCATTATCTATACACCGTTTAATCCAAACCAGGGTTGCAGGGGGGCTTGAGCCTATCCCAGCTGACTTAGGGTGAAGGCAGGTCGCAGGGCTACACTTAGAGACAGACAACCAAGTACACTCACGGTCACACCTACAGACAATTTAGAATCACCAATTAACCTCAACATGTTTTTGGACTGTGTGGGAGGAAGCCGGAGAACCTGGAGAGAACCCACACTGCACAGGGAGAACATGCAAACTCCACGCAGAAAGATCCCAGGTGTCCTCAAGAGGACACGAACTGGCGACCTTCTTGCTGCGAGGCAACGGTGCTAACCACCGAGCCACCTTGCAGCCCTTGTTAGAGCCAGCAAAAATGATATTTTAATCCCATTTGCTCAAGATTTATGTCTTACAGGAAAAAACTACTCAGTTCATGAGTGATTTTATTTAAGTTTCCTGTATGAAGTTCAAAAGTGCCTGATTTGACACTCTAGCCAAGATATGTTATGACTCCCTTTATGTTTAAATTATGGACCAAATAAAGAAGGAAGACAGCAGTTATTGTATTGATTATGTCACGTTATGGGCAACTATGCCTCAATAAATATATGTACTGTTTATGACACCTTGCAATCTACTTTCTGCTGAAAAACAATAACAAAAGGAATCACTGACAGTTACACCCATTCCAAATTATTATGCAAATTATATTTTTCTTTGATTTTCCTAAATAGTCGAAGCAAATGACAGTCAGCATAATTTTCAAGTCATCAAAAGTTAAAGTGTAGTTCGAATGTTTTTGAACAAACCTCCCAATGATAGCAGTATTTTTTTCAAAAATGAAAAAACTTAAAATGCACTGTTCCAAATTTTTATGCATAACAGAGTTCCAAAACATTTTCTAGGTTGTAAAGAACTGAAAATGGTCATTTGTTGAATTTGCAGCATTAGGATGTCATATTTACTGAAATCAAAAGCTATTTCAGTCAAAACATCTTATCAGGTCAAGTTACAGTTTAACATAGGACCCCTTATTTGATAGCAGCTTCACAATTCTTGCATTCATTGAACTTGTGAGATTTTGGAGAGTTTCTGCTTGAATTTCTTTGCAGGATGTCAGAATAGCCTCATACTTTTCAGAGGTCATTTTCACACTATCAGGGACCCTAAAGGGGCTGACCAACTCTCTCCTCATGATTCTGGCCCAAAACATGACTCTGCCACCTCCTTGCTGACTTCACGGCCTTGTTGGGACATGGTGGCCGTCCACTAACCATCCACTACTCCATCCATCTGGACCATTCAGGGTTGCATGGCACTTATCAGTGAACAAGACTGTTTGAAAATTAGCATTCATGTATTTCTGGACCCATTGCAGCTGTTGCTGCTTGTGAGCACTGGTTAGGGGTGACTGAATAGAAGGTTTATGCATAACTGCAAGCCTCTGGAGGATCCTACACCTTGATGTTCGTGAGACTCAAGAGTCACCAGCAGCTTCAAATACCTGTTTGCTGCTTTGTAATGCCATTTTAGCAGCTGCTTTCTTAATCCAATGTATTTGTCTGGCAGAAACCTTCCTCATTGTACTTTTATCTGCATGAACCTGTGTGTGCTCAGAATCAGCCACAAATCTCTTAAAAGTACGATGGTCACGCTTAAGTTTTCGTGAAATATGTAAGGTTTTCATACCTTGTCCAAGGCATTCAACCACTTCAGGATTTTCAGTAGCAGGGAGATCCTTTTTCTTTCCCACATTGCTTGAAAATGGTGGTCTGCTTAATAATGTGGAACATCCTTCTTTAGTCGTGTTTCATTTAATTGGGCTTACCTGGCTAACTAATTATCACAGGTGTCTGAGATTGATTTCGGTGATCCAGAGAGCCCTGAGACACAATACCGTCCATGGGTTTAATTGAAAAACAAAAAATTCAGTCTTTATGACACTTACATACAATTTGCATAATAATTTGGAACGCAGTGTATTGAAATAATATAAATGCTAAAAGCATTTTTTGTTTCAGCTTGCCTTTGATGGATGCCACATATTCAGCAAAAAATCTAGTTTACTGTACAGCTGCACAGCAATATGAAACTGTGAGGTTGATTACAGTACAACAGGGCCACTATTTTATTATCCATCTTTCCCTTTAATATTTTCTGTCTGTTAGGGCTGCAGTTGTCAGTCGCTAAGAATTATTGCAAAACATTTGTGCATATTCTGGTTGAAACAGGGGCCCAACGTACACAATTCATTTAAGCACAGATGACTATTAGTACAAGGAGGTAGAGATGTGTTAAGATTTTTTAAGGTTGAGCTCATTTCTGCTTTTCTTCTGTTGCAGATCTCTTCTGCTGCTTGCGGTTATGGCTTCAGTCTCATCGCGTCCTCGACCAAAGATGCGTCCAAGCTCTGGGGAATGGGCCTGAACAAGGACTCTCAGCTGGGCTTCCTGCGCACCCAGCACAGCCGCCGTAAGACAGAAACTACGTGGCTGCTTCGCTCCAATCTGACCGTATTTCAAAACTTATGATTTAAAGCTGCACCAGGTTCTATTTTTATATTAATATTGGATCCAGTGATTATGCGCAACATCAAACTGTTGTTTGTTGTAACAAACTTACAGAGAAATACCAACCAACCAGCAGACAAAGTTGAAAAACAAGCAGTTAAATAAAAAATAAAATAAAATTCTATATCAATAGTAATGTTTCTTTATGTACATGACAAGTGCTCCACATTTATATAAGGCCTTTTGAACTTGAGTGAGCTTCTGCAAAGCGCTTTGTTTCTCATTTACACACCAGCAAACATATACCAATATATAAAATATGTTTTGAGAATGAAATGAAAAAGTACCTCAAACCACCATCCTTCCATTATCTATGCACCGCTTAATCCTCACTGGGGTCGCGAGGGGGGGGAGAGAGATAGCAGGGGACACCCTGGACAGGTCGCCAGTCTATCGCAGGGCTACACTTGGAGACAGATAACCAAGCACACTCACATTCACACCTATGGCCAATTTTAGAATCACCAGTTAACCTCAACATGTTTTTGGACTGGGAGGAAGCCGGAGAACCCGGAGAGAACCCACACTGCACAGGGAGAACATGCAAACTCCACACAGAAAGATCCCAGTGTCCTCACTGGGACGCAAACCGGCGACGGTGCTAGCCACCGAGCCACCTCGCAGCCATATCTTAAACTGAAATTCAAAAACTGTTTTCAAAATGCAATCCACTTCTCAGATGAGAGAAAGTTTATTTTTAAGAAAAAAACAAAAAATGTCTGAGGATGTTTTTGAGGTTACATGTTTTTTTGTAAAATGTTCCCACAAATTTGCAGGAAAATAAAGGAAGGACATTCTCAACGCAACATTCAGAGAATGTTTTAATATCATTAGAGCATAATGTTTTAACAGTCTTATCACCAAATGTTTTTGGAGAACGCAATCCTACTTTTAAGAACAACATTCTGGGAACTAAAAGACGATTCCCTGCTAGAAACATAACTAAAACTTCTTCAGCATGTTTTTGAACAAAAGATTCTAGCTCCAGAAGTGTGTAAAGTTTATCAGATAAGTGATTTTACTGCAGCGTGTAATCTGCCTTACATCTCCACCTGTTTCTGTCGGTGTAGATCAGAGCTACGACTACGTTCTGGAGCCGTCCCCGGTGGCGCTGCCTCTCATCGAGCCTCTGCAGACCAGAGTGGTTCAGGTTGCATGTGGCCGGGCTCACTCCCTTGTCCTCACCGACCGAGAGGGAGGTAAGAGACAAACACCTCCTGCACCTGCACGAATCCAAAACCCACAATAATCCGCGGTGCATGACGTCCCCTTTGTGCAGGAAGAACCCCAGACTGAACACCTGCTGCTGTGTGTGGTTTCCAGCAACCTGTCGCACTCTGTGCCCTTTCACGTCATCCTCCTCAGCTCGGTGAAAGTGAATGATTATCGGGCAGCTGCTAAACCTCATCCAAAAAGCCCATTAGGGTCTTCTGGTATATTTCATGAATTAGCACGCTGATGTTCTAACAAGCACCATTATACATCAATAAAATCTTAATTTGTGGAAAGGTTTCTTGGCACTTGTGTTGCCCACCTGAATGTTTTTGCTTAACAGTTTTTTAATCAAGTTTGGGGTAAAATTGAAAAGTGGTGTGTTGTGATGTATTTTAAGGGCTTAACATGATTATCTGGTTGTTTCTCTGCTGTGGGAGATTTAATTAAAAGATTTCTGAATGTAGTTTGACCTGATAACAGAAAAATGTGTGATATTCTAAGGCATGTTGTTTAAAGGATGCCACTTGGGATATTTTATAGTTTGTTAGTTTTTTTTAATAATACCTGTGTGGCCAAAGCATGATGCACTTTATTCCTCTCATGATTGAAATGTATCTGCTCATTTCTTTCATTTCTTTTCTTGTTCTCCTCAACAAAGGTTAACTGAGGTTTAAGAGGAGTAAAAACTAATACAACTGTAATCGTATTTTTTTAGGATTTAAAGGTCACTGTGAGAGTTTATAAACTTGAACTAAGTGAAGCAGCTTTTTTTTTTTTACATTGTTATATTAGTAGGCTGCTCATTTTTCACATTAAGGACCTTTGTCTCAATAATTGAGCCAAAACATTAAAATCACCAATGGGTGATGTGATTAATATTGATTATCTTGATACACGTGCCTGTCAAAAAGGTAGGATTTATCAGGCAGCAAGTGAACAGTCAGTTTTTGAAGTTGATGTGTTGGAAGCAGGATCAATGTCAGCTGTGTTCTCCGATGACCTCATTCAGCAGCATAATGCTTCCTGCCACAGTATAAACATTGTTCAGGAATGGTTAGAGGAACACGACAAAGAGTTTGTCCCCAAAATTCCCCAGATTTAAATTGGATCAAGCATCTGCTAGAAATACAATTCCAAAAGAGGCTTCATTTCGCAATTTCCAGGACTTCCAGGACATGCTGTTTGACGAGTCAAAGCTGGTGGCACAAAAGGAACCTATACAATATTAGGCAGCTGATTTCACTGTTGTGACTTTTTTTTGGGACTGGAACAATCAGTACTGTGTTAATTTCACTTTTTAAACACCTCTAGTTAATCCAGTTTACTAAAACATCTAATTTACTGATCAATTTAACAGCTTTGACGAAAAAAAAAAAAAAAGAAGCAATTTACCTGTATGTAGTCTCACTGAAAGCCACCACAAGAAGAGAACTTGCAATGACTTGTTCTTCATCATTAGAACCGTATGTGATGCATCCTACCACACACTTGCCTTCATGTTCCTTCCACTCTATTCTCTCCCAGTTTTCAGTATGGGAAATAATGCATACGGTCAGTGTGGAAGACGGATAGTTGAAGACGAAATCTACAGGTAAGTCTTCTTATACTTCGCAATCAGCTACTTGATAGTGAAACATTACCTACTATAGAAAACAGCAGATTTTGTAGAATTGCTCTTGAGACATTTTCAGTCTCAGTTGATGCTGTTATCAGATGTTCCAGTTTAAAGGATTTTTTTTTTCTTGTATCACATTTGATAGTTTCATCCATCATTTTTGAGTTATTTTAAGAGTGTGCTCACCAAAGTAACTTCTGAAAACCTGCGTCATCCTAACAGTGACATCAGATGAGCCAAATGTTTGTCCAGATGTCAGTAACGATTCTTCACTGCACTAAAAAACTGTGTGTGCATTAATACCACATTAACATAGAAAACTAGATCAGTCTAATCAGTGTATGATTACCCGAGTGATGAATTCTAGTAGATTTATTTATTTTTTTTCCCCTTCTTAGTTAGACATTTTTGGGAATATTCTCAATCAGAACTTGAGCCCAATTTATGGCAGATATATTCAGCAGATATTCTAAATGTTATAACAACAAATGGAGTTGAAGAAATGTATAAAGATTTGTTTGAGATGAGTTAGAAAGAGGCTAAAGTTTCTCCATTAGAGAGCACTGACATTTTTGATTTTCAGATGTAAAATGTGTCACTCAGTTCACATAAAGAGGCTATTTAAAAACACACACACCCACACAGACACACACACACACACACACACACACACACACACACACAAATTTCACCATTTATCCAAATGAAAATTGAAATTATGAGCGTCTTATCTGCTTCTTGCCCTGGTTGCTCTGTTTCTGTTGAGGTGCAGGACTTTCCATTGCAGTGAATAATAAGCTCACATTGAGTTAAAATGTGACGGGGGTGAAAAAGAATATCTAGAAACTGCTCAGAGATCAGAGAGTTAATGATTAAATAAAGGGAATTCGCAATAAAATAAAAATCTTCATACTGATATCAGTTTTTATTAAGATCCCATGTGTGGAAGATGGATAAAAACAAAAGAAACGATGACAACACTTTTTAGTTGTTGTTTCCTGCAGGACCAACGCAGAGTATTACTCATTAAGACATGCCACTGTGAAACACTGACATGAATGTGATAACAGGGTTATTTTTAATCCGAATACAGTACGTTTGGCTAACTTGAAGCTTTGATTGCAACCTTTTTGATTTTTTTTTTCTGTCCTTTTTTTCTTTTTGCAAAATTAATTTTACTGAAACAGCGAATCACACAATTATTTTGTGTAATAGATTCTAAAGATTGTTTTTGCTCTGCATCGTTTCATTAAAAAACTTGAAGTTTCTACAGTTTAGAGACTTGAAGACACCTCACCTTGCCTGTTGCGCTATCAGTCATCTCCTGGGCTGTGTGCCTCGGATATATATTCTTGACGCATGAGATATTTTAGCGCAGATATAAGCGGGAGGTTAAAGGAAGGCTGACAGACACCGCTGTGACCTCCTGGAGACGCTGCCATCCTTGAGTGATGGATCGACTAATTGTCCATCTCGTGTTCCAACAGCGGCAGCCACATCATTCACAAGATGGAGGGCTTCGGCAGCAGGGTCGTACAGGTGAGCGCGATGACAGATGCGTTTTATTTACAGTTTGTCTCTTTTCCCTCCTGTGCCGTACCGTCGGCTGCACTCCGAGCGTGATACAGTTTGCTTTAGGTTCACACCTTCCCAGCACTCACATTAAAATATCATTTGGCCCCGTTGCAACACTAATGTCCTCCTCTCAGAAGTCCACTCAGTGAACATCTAATTTTTTCGTCCCACACTCGTTTTTAACAAGCTTGTGAAGATGTTAAGCTTACTAATATGTCCGTCTACGGGCTTCAGTGTGACACCCAACACTGTGGAGTTGATGCATCTATTTTTCCCAGGTGGCGTGCGGTCAGGACCACAGCCTGTTCCTCACCGAGACGGGGAAAGTGTTCGCCTGTGGATGGGGCGCAGATGGACAGACGGGTCAGTGCTCTTCACACTCTGTCACACTCGGCAACCCCCTTAACCTTGAGGTGCAATGGAAAAATGCACTCTTTACCACAGTAGCGTGGAACGTGAACACAGACAGACAGAAATAACTTGTGCAACCTATTCTGTTTTGAATTTATTTGGGCTCATATCATTGTGTTTGAGATTTTTGTTTAGAGTACAGAAAGTTTAAGTTAACCAGTTTTGTTACAGGAAGGCAAGATCAGTATTTACTGATTTATGGGGTATGAAGAGTCAAACAGTCGTTGGATTTGGTATGATAAACTGTAGTATAAGTTTGAGTGAAAAGTGATGCGATATCTACTTTTTCATATAGTGCAGTGATCGGTACAATATTTATCTCCTGTAATGTAACACAAGTTGTTTTAAAGAGCCCCTGTCATGCTCATTTACACGTTCATCATTTAATTTTTAGGGTCTGTGCTCTAATGTAAAAAGTGCACTAGTTTTCTCATACTGTACATTTCTGCTTCATTTCTTCTCACCTTCAGTCTGAAATGCTTCAATTTAGCTCCTGTCTCTTTAAGGCCTCCCTCTGATTTGTCAGCTGGTACAACAAAAGACAGTCAATACTGCTTACATACCATAACTGAGATCTACAAATACAGGTGTAGCTTTTACACAAGTGACTCTAGTGAGGAAATAATGCAAGAAGGCTGCTCAACATTTGTTCAAAGGCCAGAGTAGCAGTAAAACAGGTGATATGCAAACGTGTTACAGGGTGATATAGATGAGTAACTGTAGAAAAGCCTGAACTTCAAATGTGAGGTTTCAGACAGTAAAGGAAAATAACTTTTGTTGTGAAATTCTTTGCTTTTTAAGTTTTCATTCTTTCTACATGCGCAAAAACACCTATAACACATTAAAGAAAAGGGAAAAAGCATAATTAAAGCCGCAAGCGGCGATGAACGGGTCCTCGCCCGACGCTTGTCGGCCTTCGCGCACGTCGAGGTGTGGTGCAAATGTGCTCCGGGCGGGACTCTGATCCGGCGAGTAGAGTTTCGACCAGATCGGAGCACGTGTGGCATATTTAAGAGCCACTTCCTGTTAAGTGGCGAGCTGTGCCGTGCGAGTAGGCCGTGGCGGAAACGCGCTCTGGCTGAGACTCGGAGCACGTGCGTAAAGTTTCAGGAAGATCGGAGCACATACAGGCCAGTTACACAGTACGTCTCGTATTCTGGCATTGCAAGGCGTTGTGGCCACGCCCCCAGGTGGCGTTGTGAGTGAGAGTGGTCATATGGCTGTGATGAGGGTTAGAGTGTTACGGAACACGTGAAGTTTGACAGCCATTGGAGCAGGTATCGGCTTTTTACACTTTACTTCCCGTTTAATGGCGAGCCGAGACGCCGTGCATGGCGTGGCATGCTGGCAACGCGCTGTGGCTGAGACTCAGAGCACGCGTGTAAAGTTTCAGGCCGATCGGAGCACACACAGGCCAATTACACAGCACCTCGCATTATGCCGTTTTATGGCGTTGTGGCTGAATTCCGGGGGGCGCCATTTCCACGCCGAGACTTGTGCAGACCCTTTTAAAAGCTTTTAATCACCATCTCCTTTAGTTTGTGCTGGCCAAATTTCAGGTGTGTACGACCTTCCCTTTAGGAGGAGATAGATTTTGAAAATGGCCAAAAATGTCAAGAAGTCACCCAAAATCGCCAAAATTGTCAGCGTGGTTTTTCAAAATAATGGACTTCCTGTTGGGTTTAGGAGTTGGTGCGGATTGACTTTTTTGTGCGTCCTGACCTGCTCCACATGCCCACCGAGTCTTGTCGGCATAGGTGAACCGGCCTTCTGACAAGAGTTAGTTGAATGCAAAAAACACTGCGAAAATGGACAAACTGGCCATTGATCGAAATTGGACAGGCCGCCATTTCGAAACCGGGCCTCATCTGCGGAGCATTTGAGTATCTTTTAATCACCACGTCCTGTAGTTTGTGCTGGCCAAATTTGAGGTGTGTACGACGAAACTGTAATGAGGATTGTGAGAGTAAAGGATATCTCCATAGATTCCAACAGATTCTGTGCCAGGTCTTCCACATAAGATTGAACAACTTAAATTGAAGTACCCTTATGAGGCTCCAAAGAGCCAACTGGAGAGTAGAAGAGTTCTCGATTGAAAATGAGCAATAACTTCTCAAGTGAGCCTCAGTGAAGTATAAAACTAATATTTTAGAGCCTTTCAAGTGATCGCATGACAAAGCATATGTATGCTCTGAGCAGAAATGTGCAATTAGAATTATCAAGAATTATTAGGGATTAGATGGATAGTCGGAAATTGGTTGAAATTAAAACTCAACATTAAACATGAGCAGGAAAAATTCTGAAAAACACACAAGAAGAGTTTACAATGAATGCATACAATGAAGATCAATGCTGATGGAATTGTCCTTGTCATTAAAAACATTGCAAAGACTGCCTGAAATGTAATTATTAGAAAAAATAGTTTTCATTTATACATGCTTCTTATTCACGCATGCAAACATTTGGTCATTCAGAGAAGGTCCGAGTTTGACGTCAGCTACCCTCAGATTAATTTGTGTTCATTTAATGGCTACTGTGTGATTAGCTAGCATGATGGCTAAAAAAGAGCGAATAGCAAGGGAAATGTCAAGATGTTTTTGTTGAGTTTTAGAGGAAAATATTATAAATAATAATGCCTTTTAAAGTTGTTGTTCTGTTACTATTCATGCGCAGTTTATGAAATACTTAAATTTTTTATGCAGTGTGCTTAGACTATGTAGTGATTGGGGACACAGAAAGACATAGGAACTGTATAGGAGATTTTCCTCTTCTCATGCATCTTCTAATGAAGATGCATAAAAAGGGACTGCAAAACAAAATCAGCAGCAGATTTAATTTAGATGTTTAAGCCTCTAATAAATGCAAATCAAATACAGACATCTGGCTAACACTACCCTGCTTCAACTCATGTGTGATTCAAATTATTTTGTTCACTCCACAATATGTGCAATTAAATGGTGTACAATCACCTCTTTCTGTACTGCATCACTGATAAATATCTATTTTTAAGGGTTGCAGAGACTAGTAAGGATTTGTGCTTTTAGCTTTCTCTGATCCCTGCAGTGTCTCTTTCCTCCAGGTCTGGGGCACCACAACATCAGCTCCTGTCCGGTGGAGGTGGGAGGAGATCTGTCCGGGGTGGAGGTGCAGCAGATCAGCACATATGGAGACTGTAGCCTGGCTGTCTCCAGAGACGGACAGCTGTATGGATGGGGGAACTCCGAATACCGACAGCTGGCCTCGGTCACTGAGGCCACACAGGTGAGGAGAACCAACAGTGGATTTTAACAGGGTCTTTGTGTAACTGCTTGTGTGTTTGCACTCGATGGCTCTCTGTTGGTTTCGATTTCCACCTGTCACTCACCTGTCAGAGAGCTGCTCGGTTCCCAGCAGCCTCTTGTCGAGAACTCGCTGAGCCTCATGCAAACACACTTTGGTGTTTTTGACTTATATCTTTCTCTCTGTTTCTGCTCATGTAAGAGTTTTAAGTCAGATTCAGAAAACTTAGCTGCACAAGCATGTAAAAAATAGCCTGTTTTGTGTCTATCGGTGCACTATGAGATTCTACTATGAAGCACACAAATTGCTATATAAGGCCACATGTTCAGTGTGTCAGCAGGACTCATTCATTAATGTGTTACTAGCACAAGAAGAATTTTTGAGTGTAATGCTTTAAATCCTGCAAAACAATTCAATACAAACGTAACAAATGAGCAAAAATAGTATCATCTTGACTGTGGCATTTGAAAACACAAATTTTTCATCATTTTCTGACGTTGTTGACCAAACAACTAATCGAATAATAAAGAAAATAATGGAAATAGTCTTAAGTTGCAGCCCTAAAACCACTTATATGTGATTATTGCATGGAGCATAATTATGGAATGCATCATGGGAAAGACAGTTAACATATTGTAGAGATAAATTCAACCTCTACTAGATAAATAATTATATTTAGCAGTACAAGAGGGATCAAATGTATACATAAACAATATTAATTTCTTATCCTCAGATCAACTCTCCTCGTCATCTTCCTCTGAAAGGCTATGGGAAGGTGGTCCAGGCAGCGTGTGGAGGCACACAGGTGGCTGTTCTCAACGGTCAGTTCATTCAAATACACTTTGAAACATATTTGCTATAAATATGAACAGCACATATGATCGTGACTGAGGAACCGACTCTTTAGAATGACTGACTGTTGGGGTTTGTGGGGATAAAAGTTGCATTTTATGACCTGATAGCTGAGTTTAAACCCTTTTTCAGCTTGACTCACTCTTCAACTTCATCTCAGACTCCTCGTTTCGCCTCTTGGTGGCATCACACATCACAGTTTTAGGCATCTGTCTTCCAGTTTGATTCCTCATGTCTGCTTGTTAGTTACCTTTATGAGACTATGGCAGAACTCCCAACAACTGTTTCAGGCAAACTTCTGTTTAAAATTGCGCTTTTATTCATCCAGTCTGTGTTCAAATGGTTTCCAAAAACTGTCTCTGCAGTAATTTTAAGGGGCATTTTAGAGGGAGAAAAGCCAGCAACATATATTTATCAAGTCTCTCACAGCAGATCATCCTTTCAAACTGGACAAATAGTCTCAATTATTGTTCCTCTTAAGGAGTAAACGCATTTATCAGTGTTCCTAACTTAGGAAATTCCTGCTGTGCTGTTGTACAATGTTGCACAATATATGTGAGCTGCAGCACTAATATATAAAACAATGTAAGCATGTGTCACATAGCTGAGTCAAGGTACCTGCTATGTTTAATTGTAATGTTTACATGAATGATTTAGGTTGTGCATGTGGTAAACTATTGTTTACTCACAGTCTACGATGCAAATGGCTTATTGGTGTGTATCATTGTATAATTCTGGTTATTTATTAATATTGGCCCCACAGTTTGGCACATAAAACCTGCAGCTGTAGATGACTGTTAATGCCTTAGTTGCAATTTACGAAAAAATAAAAAAAGGCAACACTTCATCGGAGGCCTGGTTTCTGTGGTGACATTCCTACTCTGTACTGACGGAGATGGTCAGCTACAGCAACCAGGAATGTGGTGGAGCCTGTAGTGTAAAAACCAAGGAAGGGGTTGAACAAAAATTCCTGATGGTCCAGATAAAATGGAAACAGCATTCAGCGGACGTTGACGTAGTTTGTGTGAGCGGCACAAGTACTGCACTGCACGTTAAACTTTCATCTGCATTCCTCAGAGGGATTCTGAGATGTTTGATAAATAAGGATCTGATCACAGGAACTTGCAGCTGTTCATGTTCTGTGAATGTACATTTGAGTGCTTGCAGGCATGCTAGCGGCTAAAATGTCAGTATGTTTGTCGATTTACCATTTTGACTCCTAACTAAAATATCTCAACAACTCTTGGATGGACAAATATGAAATTATCTACAGTTATTTATTGTTTTTTTTAAAGACTTTTCCTCGAGCTCCACGAGCAGGTTGATATTTGTGTATTTTTGTGCGAAAGTTTATTGCAAACATTTATGTCCACTCTAGGAACAACTGGAATAATTTCTCAGGTCAGGTTATCGTTAGGTTTTCATAAAGTGCTACGGAAATATGAAATGTGTCCGATACTTTGATTTATGACTACATATCTGCATCTCCATCAACCTCACCTGTACTTGTGTTTAATGCTGATTAATTTATGTTAGCATGCTAGCACGCTAAACTGAAAAGTGCAAGCACTCATCTGCAACCAGCTGCTGTTGCTAGCCTGTTTATTGAAGAGTTGGCTTTTCTTTTGCCATATTATTGTATAAATATCCATAGAGTTGTAACTATTATTTTTATTTAATAATCAATCTTCTGATCATTTTTTGATTGATTAATCATTTTGTCGTTGCACGCTAAAAAAACACAAAAAGATGCTGCTGAAAACTTCCCCAAATATCCAGTTTGTGTTGAATTTTGGCAAAGAATATCCACAAATCCTGTCATTCGATTGGCTGATTGACTTTTAGATCTAAATATCAATTGTATTCTATGTATTTGTATGTGAATCTTTCCAGAAAAAGGAGAGGTGTTTGTATGGGGTTATGGCATTCTGGGAAAAGGTCCAAATCTGTCAGAATCTTCCACCCCAGAGATGATTCCCTCGACGCTGTTCGGACGCTCGGAGTTCAACCCCTCAGTCTCTGTGACCAGGATCAGGTGTGGCCTCAGTCACTTTGCTGCAGTGACAGGTAGGAATGTTTTTGTCTACAGATGAAAAACAAATAAAAAACTCTTTCAGGCTGCATCAGGTCAGATCCCCATTTCAAATCAGCGTCTCGCCATGAGATACAAAGTAATGCTACTTTACAAGATTTCTGCTTCAACTTCCAAATGTCAGCCCTTTTGGTTTCCAGGTAAGATAAGAAATGGAAACATAAAACTCTTGAACAGCAAAGTCATTCAGGCTCATCCAGTGTGAAGTGCTAAAAATGAGCTGCAAATGTCTGAAGAAGCAGTTTATTGCTGAGTCAGGTAGTCCGTTTATGACGCTGAAAGGAAAAGTCTGCAGCTCGTCTTGTTTTTATCTCTGAAACAGCAGAGTGAAAAGGCCTTTTAGCCAGTTTTTATTAGCCTGACTCAGACTTCGAAACCATCCAACAACTCTGAAGGTCGGGACTGAAGTGTTTGTGCTGTTAGAGCATTGCTGGCTTTGAATCGTCATTTCTCAAAACCATTGATTGTTTCTCGGGTTTTAGAAAAGTAAGAGGGCGGTAATTTTATAAATCTCTTTATAAGCTGTAGGGAGGTATGCTCGATGCAGAAAATAATCACGAGCTGCAGCTGGAGTTATGACGTTAGAAAGATGGAAAGTTCACTCAGTTTTGTTGGATGAAGTCGACAGGAGGAGAGATGTTTGGAAATAAATCAAGACGTTTTCATATATGTATAAATCTACCTCTCTGTCCTGTTACAGTCTTTTTCAACACTTCGTGTTTATTGTTTCTTTTTAAAGAACATGTAGTAATTATGAACATAAAGAAGAAAGACAACAACAAAACAAAACACAAAAAAACAAAAGGCCTCGAAAGAACAAGAACAGTAGATTGCCAGTTGTTACCAGTGTAATTGTCCTGATGCTGTCGTTGTATAAACAGTCCACTTCGCCCATTTTTCTCAACATAGTTCTTCTTGAGTATGGGTCAACATTACATGTATCTCACTCACAATGTTTTGCCAGTCCTGCTGTGTTGGCGGATCTGCTTTATACCATTTCCTTATGATTGCTTTCTTGCAGTCTTGCAGACTGCTAACATAATTTTCAGTAAATATCTGTCCTCTTTTAATACAACATTGCCTGACATGTATCTGTTCCAGATACAGTAATACACATGACTTGGTATATTATAGCCCAGAATTTGAATGACTGTCTGATGAACAACCTCTCAAAAGTGTATGATTTTTTTACAAAACCAAAATACGTGAGAGTGCTTTATATTTATATTTCCACATTTTCTCCAGCATGGCTGTGGTACTGATGTGTGTTTATTTCTAATTGTGGGTGTGACAAAGAATCTAATCAAGTTCTTCCAACAAAATAATCTCCAAACTCGTGATGGTGTGGATGTCTGCTGTGTTTGCATAATATGTAGCCATTCATCTTCTGATATGGGCACTCCTCGTTCTCCTTCCCATTTCAGTTTTACATATATGGTTGTCTTCCCTTTTCTCTCCATTAGGTGTCTGTACATTGTAGATATGATTCTATGTTTCTTTGAATTGTAGGTTTCCACTATGACTCCACGAATCCATTCTTATCCAGGTTTACTGTGTGTTTTACTTCCTTGTCATAAAAATCCTGTACTGTGATCACAGTTACTTAAATTGCATTTTTGTTTCATTTCCTGGAAACTCAAGAAATTCCTGTTTTTTATTAATAATGCGGTTATGCCGTTTCGAGTCCATTGTTTAAATCTCTGGTCATGGAGACCTAGGATATAGCTTTAATGTGAATTGGGTGATACTATCCATTTGGTGTCTTACATTAATTGTTTCTTCTCTGTCTCCAATACAACTTTGAATTTGCCTTCCTTGTACAAATTGCTCTAAATTTTTCCATTTAAAAACATAGTCTTTGTCACACCAGCAAATTATAGGTCTGATTTGTGCTACAAAAAAAATATTCCTTAAAATTTGGTAATGCCATATCGCCTTTATCTCTACCTATCTGTAATGTATCAAATTTGATTCTTGGTCTGTGACCGTCCCATATATATCGAGAAATGAGTTTGTCCCATAATCTATATTGTTTTTCCAGTATTTCAATCGGTAATGATTGGAATAGATACAGGAGCCGGGGAAGGATATTCATTTTTATGGTCTCTATTCTTTAACCAATATCTAATAAGAGAATATTCCATCTGTCCACGTCACTCTTTATCTCTTTGTCTATGTTGATGTAGTTAGCGTTATATGAATCCTCAAGTCTATGTGTTGGCATCACTCCAAGATATTTTATTTTTGTTGCCCTCCAATTTAGCTTATATGTTATTTGTATGTTTCTGGATGGTGATTAATTGAATGTTGAGATTTGTGTTTTAGTCAAATTAAGTTTGTATCCAGAACAGAAGCCAAATGTCTCTAGTTGTTTGATTAGTATTGGAATTTCTGTCTGGGCCCTCTACAAAACAAATTACGTCATCAGCAAAAAATCCAGTGATATGCTTTTCTCTCCCGATCCTGATCCCTTTGAGATTTTTATTCTCCCTGATTGCTTGAGCCAGGGGCTCGATAAAGATAGCAAACAGGGTTGAGGACATACAGCAGCCCTGCCTGGTCGACCGTTCTAAGGTTATGCTCTCAGTTAGGCTGCCGTTTGTTTTTATCCTTGCAGTTGGTTTTTGGTAAAGTGTTTTAATACAGTTGTTGGCTTTGTCATTAAATTCAAGTTTTTTAAGTACCAGATATAGAAAAGTCCAATTCACACAGTCCAACGCTTTTTCTGCATCAAGGCTTATTAAGACTGCACTAGTGTTATTTTTTGGAATATGATCGGAGATCATTGGAGATCACTGTTACCATTGCTTCCCTCCAGGATGGGGGTATTTCCAGTTTGTGGTTAAATGACTGTTCTAGAAGTGGTATGAGGTGTTCACTAAATGTTTTGTAACACTCAGACGGTAGACCGTCACTGCCAGGGGATTTGTTTGATTTTAGTTTATTCACTGCTTTCTCTATCTCTGATCTTGTAGTAGGTGAGGTCAAATGATCGTTTTGCTTTTTCCCAATTGATGGCAAGTCTAGGTTCTCTAGAAAAGCTTTCATCTGGTTTATGTCAGCTAAATGGGGCTGGCTATACAGTTGTCCATAGTAATTTGTGAATTTAGATTTAATCTTTTTGGGGTCATTAGTGAACTTATTGGTATCTACATCTTATATCTTATGAATTGTTCTGTCAGCCTGCTTTTTTTTTAGTCTTTTTGCAAATAATTTAGTTGCCCGGGGCTCCACTTCGTAATAGGATTGTTTTAAAAATCTTGTCTTTTTGTCAATTTCTTTGATCAGTTAACCTCCACAATGTATTTTTCATCTGTCCATTTAATTTAACTTTGAGGTTAACTGCACAGTGATCTGATACATCTGCTTCTTGAATTTCACATTTCTTTACCCTATATAGTTCCTTCGTATTAGTAAAAAAAACCAGTCAGTTCTTGCATAACTATCATTGGGGGCTGAGTAGTGTGTAATCTCTTTCGAAGGATGTAATGCCTTCCAAATATCAACCATCCCAGTGTTGTCTTAATTGTTTTAGCAACATGGTTGGTACTTTTCTTTTTGTTTGTTGTGTCCAGTTTACTGCTCATCACTATATTAAAATCACCACCACATATCAATATTCCTTCCATTTCCAAGATTATGGCATCCAACAAGGTTTAAAAAAATGTTTTTCACTGTTGGGTGGAGCGTATACATTAACCATTGTGACCATTTTGTTTTCAAGTCTTCCTTTCACAAGGACAAATCTCCCTTCTTTATCTCTAATTTCTTTGATACACTCAAATTTCAATGAGTTGGGCATGAGTATGATCACACCACTTCTGCATCCATGACGGAATGAACTATAGAATGCTTTCGTATAGCCAAACCTCTTCAGCTTCTCAGCTTTCTTGTCTAGACAGGTGGGTTTCCTGCAGGTATATAATCTGTGATTTACGTTTCCTTAATTTGATCATTATCTTCTGTCGTTTTACCAGATTATTTAATCCATTAATATTCAACGACAATATCTTAATGTTATACTCTGACATGGTTAATTATAGATTTGTGTGGCAATCCAACTCAAATGAAATGAAATGAAAATGAAATGAAATGAAAAACACTTTATTTATCCCAGAAGGGAAATTCAATAAAAAATAAAAAATAAACAAATAAAAAAATCACAAGGCTTAACTGTTTTACAACAGTTGAACACAGAACAATGTGACTTCCAAAGATAGGATGTGTTTGACCATCCCTTAAGGTCCCTGTTGGTGGGAGGAGGGTAAAATGCCTCGTTGCAATAGGGGCCCTCCCTAGTGGTGAGAAAAACATTGTCCAACATTTGTGCTGATTTAACAAAAAACACTCCTCGCGTTCGGTATTGAATATCTAATAACATAAACCCTGAGTCAGATATCCTATTTAGCCCACAGTTGTTCATATTAAGAAAATTTGGCAAAGGTAAAGTAAATATTTTTCAAAATAAGGTGACAACATTAAAGTTTCGTAAACCTGAGCCACACCGTTTCAGTGTCATTACTCAGAAGCTCTTCTGAACTCTGTCAGCCTCTCTCTTGTGCGCTGGGCTGTAGTGGCGGAAGCAGTAGTAGCGGTTTCCATGGCAACGCTGCATCCAGTCGCTCCCCAGCCGCGGAGGTGTTCGCCCTGGCTGCCAACTACTACAACAAAAAATGCTACTGCAACAACAAACACTACAACTACTGCAATACGACTACTACTACGACTACTACTACTGCCACATCATATGCTACTACAGCTACCACAGTACTGCAACTACTACTGCTACAGCTACTTCTACAACTACAACTATTATTAGTGCCACTGGCTGAGCACGAGGCCCTACTTGTACAGAGTACACTATTGTTATCCTGTGGTGTTTTTTCTTATTTTTCCTCTTCCGTACCAAATTTTGGTTGGCTACTCCTCTCACAGCTTTGAGAGCACCCACGCAAATTATACATCAAAACGTGCGGCTCAATCGGGAATAGTGTGCTTACATTTTTCGTGATGCAATTCGCGAAAACGTCGTAAAAATCTCCCATTGGAAATGAATGGGACGGACATGAAAACCACCCAAATTTAAACTACTTTTCAAACCTCCACTTCTCAGGCATGCTTTCACTTAGAGACTCTATTTAAACTTTAAAATGTTGATGCGGCCTTCCCCTATTTCAAAGTCTTTCTATTTTTTTCTTATCTTCAATCATTTCTTCGTGACAACCTCTCAAGTTTTGAAACTTTTTCACTCCTTTTCAGCCTTTACAATGGGTGTGTATGTGGGCTTTAGAGTGAGTAACGTCATCACCAGAGTGGGAGTGCAGAAAAAAATCACACAGTAATTTCTTTTTTTTAACTTGTCGCCCTGGCCACAATTTTAATGCGACAGACATCATTTTTACATCAAAACGTTGCAAGATTTGTCCTCCCACTCACAATGTCACTTTGGAAGCCCACAGAATTAAGTTTGGGGGGGTTTTGGAGCCTTTTTCCTCCACAAGTCTCTCTTCCTTCCCCATCTGCACCCATTCAAAGACGGCTACTGATTTTTTTCAAGGACCTGAAATCTACCAATTTTTTCTCAAATGATTGTGCGCTCATTTTTTACTCGAGGAAAACTAAAAATACATCTCTGTAATGCCCAAGGTCTTGGCTTTCTGGAAATGCGCTCGGCTTTTCTCTCCTACACACAGTTTTGAAATAAAATGGCGGTTGTTTGAGGTCTTCTCGTTCTGTTCACTTCGACTGATTTGACAGTTAAACCAAGTATCCGTTGCGGCTGTGTGCAGGGTTACCCGGCAACGCTCTAACTTGACAGGTGCAGGGAAAGCTTGCTTGTCCTCCTACAACGTGGTTTATGTGAGGTCAAGAATCTATAGACGTTACAGGGCGCACATCTGCTACAAGCACTACATTTACCTAAGGCGGTTAATCAGGGTAATATCTTCTCTAAAAGATTATCTCCAAGTAAGGAAAGTGATTTTTCCTTCAGCTACTACAACAACAACTACTGCTACTGCTACTGCAACTATTACTGCAACTACTANTGCAACTACTACTGCTACAAGTACTCCGACTACAGCTGATTTTCTGATGTAAGCCGTCTACAGGTCCAGAATAACGGGTTAAAGTTTCAAGAGGTAGAGCGGAGCCAGATCATGTAGAGATTTCTAAGTAGTTTTGCTTCCAAAATATCAAACTTTTGTATCAAATGTAGCTATTGATTAGAGAACAAGGCCATCATTTGGCCAAATTTTTTGAATTTCATTTGAAAAATCTCAAGAAGTGCATGTGCTCATTGGCCTTTGGTGGCTCTTAGTGGTTTTAAAATATTTATTCCATTTTAGAATTTAGTTTTGCAGATCATTGTTGTGTTTTGTTTTGTCGTTTAGTGTTTTCTATTTATTTAATTTTGCTTTTTTTGCATGTATTTTTGTTGTTGCCTGTCTTTTAACATGCCTTGTAAAACATGCTGATGTTTGACGGTTGCTTTGCAGATCGAGGCGAGCTCTTCGTTTGGGGGAAGAACGTGAGAGGTTGTTTGGGCATTGGGAAGAGAGACGACCAGTACTTCCCCTGGCGAGTAAGACAACACTAATTCAATATTAGTTGTGTAAACAGAAAGTAAACCGTGCTGCAGACCTACTGTTTATTCTTACTTATCATGCTCGCTATATGCAGCTCATAAACACTTCTTCTTGGTGATATATTGCTCTCTTCAGTACAGAAAAGTACATTGTCTCAGTAAAATATGGTGTCATAAATCTATATCCCCTGCAGAGATTTTTCAATTTAAGCCCACAGACTTACATTAGCATGTCCCCTCCAGACATTTCAGCAGGATGTGAAGGTGTTGGACTCCTCAGTGTTGCACAGTGTGACGTCTCTGGGTTGCTTATAGAAGAAAGAAAATAAATATCCCCTCCACCCTACAGAAAGTGAACCTTTGTTAATCTGCACACACTCGTCCTGGTTTTCCTCTAAGCTTTGCCTCTCGGTGGGCTTCTCTGTCAGGTGACTGTGCCGGGGCAGGTGGTGGACGTAGCTTGCGGTGTTGACCACATGGTGGCGCTGGCGAAGTCTCTGCTGTGAAGCTCCTGTCCTCCCCCCAACCCCACCCCCGGCAGTGGATGAAAGGCTGGATGTTTGGCCGAGCCCTCGGCTGACCTCCGGGCGCCTCGGGGAGCCGATTGGGGGCCGCTCCGGAGTCTTGAAGCCAGCTGCTCTCCACAGGCGGCGGCCCTCGAGTCCTGTGGTTGAACCGTGACGTCAAGCCGAGAGCAGAGCAGTCGATGCTGCAGTAACCCGTAGCTGACAGAGCTGCCTCTATCCTGCATGAAGGTCATAGAGGAAAGACACCTAAAGATAGTTTTACTACATCTGGAGCTGATCAATTAATAGATTTCTTTGTTATTTTGTCAGTTGATTGCTTGTTTAAAGCCACTTTTCAAGCAAAACTATGACAAACTTTGAATATTCTCTAGTGGCGGCTTCACCAATGTGAGGATTCGCCGTTGTTCTGTGTTTTTATATCACCACAAACTACAAAGCTTTGTTTTCTTGGACAAAACAAGACAAAACTTTCTCCATATTTTGGAGACTAAACTGTTAGTCTTCACAGCACTGTAATTTTGTTTTCTTCTTTTTTTTATTTATTTTTTTACATTTTTTTATTTCCATCACTTACATTGTAGGCTTCAGAGTGCAATTTAACTGACAGAAATGATGGTCGAATCCATAAAATTAAACCAAAGCTTTCTTCCAGGAAACACATTCAGCTTTTCTTGACTATTTTATCAATTGATTGATTGCCAGACAGTGAATAAAACTGTGAATATTCTCTAGCTGCAGCTTAAACAATGTGAGGAGTAGCTTTTTTATTTCTGTTTTATATCGCTATAAACTAAAAAATCTTTATTTAAAAAAAAAAAAAAAGGGAAAAAAAGGACAAAACTTGGACTTTTTTCTCCACTTTTATAGACTAAGTGGTTAAACTTGGCACTGAGGATAATAATCAATGCACAGATTGATAGTTGCAGCGCTGTAACTTTATTTATTTTTTATTATTTTTCATTTCCGTCACTTACACTGTACGCTTGAGAGTACAATGTATCTGACACGAATGATGGTCACATCTATAAAATTAAACCAAAGCTTTCTTTGGGGAAACGCATTCAGCTTTTCTTGACTATTTTGTCATATTGATTGATTGCTTTAAGCCACACAGGAAGTTTTTGGATTATGTCAAATTGGACTCATCCATCCATTATCTATACACCGCGTAATCCTCACTAGGGTCGCGGGGGGGCTGGAGCCTATCCCAGCCGACTTAGGGCGAAGGCAGGAGACACCCTGGACAGGTCGCCAGTCCATCGCAGGGCCACACTTAGAGACAGACAACCAAGCACACTCACATTCACACCTACGGACAATTTAGAATCACCAATTAACCTCAACATGTTTTTGGACTGTGTGGGAGGAAGCCGGAGAACCCGGAGAGAACCCATGCTGCACGGGGAGAATCTTTCTTTTTAATATTAGTTATGTTGTACTCACCAGGTTAACTGCTGGGATGTAACTGATAGAAATGATGGTCTAGACCAGGGGTCTGGAACCAGGATCGTTATCAGGCTTCTGCAGAGCTTGATGATGAGCTGATCATTTGAATCAGGTGTGTTGGAAGAGGGAAACATCTAAAACTTGCAGGATTGCGGCCCTCGAGGACCGGAGTTCCAGACCCCTGGTCTAGACTATCAAATTTAACCAAAGCTTTCTTCCAGTTGACCCCTGAGTCAGCAGCACATTGGGAATGGTTATGAGACTGCTCCTGCAGAAAACTCACTTTACATGCTTATTCAGTTCAGTTTCTAACAGATGGAGCTCTTTCTTAATGTCCTTTATTGTTCACTCTTTTCCCCACAGTGTTTGAAAATGCTACTTAATATTCTAAATCAAATAAAATGTATTTTTATTAACCACATCAGTTATTTGCTAATAAGTAGAAATATTTGCTCAATTTTCTGCATCTGTAAATTCATAATTTCTGAGGCGGTTACCTGAACAGAATAATGCAAATTTGATTAAACTACAGAAAATTGAGACATTGTTCAATTGGTGCACATTCAATTACAGTATATGAAATACCCATGATAAATAATGCTGTAACCATTTGTGAAAATGAAACGAGTAAAATTTGTGATTAATGAGTCAGTATTTAAGAACGACTTCTTAAAACCTGCATTTTTCTCTTCTGGGACTTCCGGTTTGGCAGCAGATGGAGTAGGTGTGCTGCTCTCTTGTTCCCACAGCCTCTTCAAACTTTTCAATAAAAAAAAAGCCTTCTTTTTGTCTTCTAAAGACCGTTTATCTTTGATTTAATTTCGGACAATCGGGAGACGCGGCACGGACATGTCTAGATCCGGAGGACGAACGAGGAAGGAGCTGCCTGCAGAGGACTCCATAGCTGGGGCTAACAGCGAGGCTAGCTTAACAGTGGCGCACATCTCAGACCTCCTCGAGCAGCACAGAGCAGCGCTGGCCTTGGACTTCAAGTCCTCTTTCGCCACCGTGGACAAAAAGCTGGACCAGATTCAGGCCGTGGTCTCTGGCCAGGGACAACGCATTACCGATCTTGAGTCTAATGCGGAGGAAGTGAGTCAACGTCTGGAGCAGATCGAAGCTAGGTGCGCCCATAGACTGTATAAAGGATGGACTTAGCTACCGTGACGTCACCCGTTGGTTAGGACAGGACCGGACCTTGGAGGAAACACAGAGTTAGTGAAATAACTGTAAACTGCCACAAGTGAATGCCTAAAGGTTTTGCTGTAACCAAGGAAACCTTTTAAGGGATTCTGTGCAAGTTCCTGAGCTAAGGAGAATTTCATTAAGTGTCATATTTAAGGAAAAGCATTCATATGTTTTGTGGAGGTAGTTTCTGTGCACACTTGACTGTACAGAAATCTGCAATTTGTATCCATGGAATTCATCCTACACAGTTTCAGACACTAAATGCAGGATGAGTACTGACTTTGAAATAACTGCATCAGAACTTTCCCCAACAATACAAACTCACTTCAGTCATGTTGCCGAATATTGAATCCATAAAATGAAGCTTCACTTGTTCATTCTTTATCATCTCTGTCCTTAAACTGAACTCTGCTGCTGTCTGAAGCAGATCTCAACCTTGACTTAAACTCCGACTTCCTGATATCAACTGCTGCCTGTGGCCCCTGATGGACAATTTAATTCATGTGGAACAGCAAGAGCAGCTGAAGTCATCACCGTTTGGCTCCATCGTACTTTGCTGTCCTCGTTGGGCTCCTGTGTTTTTTGGCCCATTCATCATTGTGACAAGCGGAGAGCCCTCGGAGACAACAGAAATGTATTTGTGACAAAACCACTGAGTGAGCATAAAATCACGCAACCTGTGATCCACCTGCAGGGTGAGACGTGGGAGCATGCGGGGATAGCTGTGAGTCTGAGAGTCACATTTTATTCACCTTTTTCCTCCGCCTCTTTCATCCCCTTCTGAGAACTTGAGAGCATGACAGGCGTTTACTTGGACTGTTTGGTGCTCAACTTTTACTCACCTGCACCATTTCTGGCATTCAGGGGAGGTTTTGTGTCACAGGTGTTTCTGTAGACAAATAAGAAGCTTTGGCAGGATGGAGCTTAACAATCCCAGTCATAAATCTGCTGTAGTTAGTCTGTGATAATGCTCCTGAACCAAAAAGTTGATCCTGCTGAATGCATGTTGTTCACTCAGTTGTCATGGGCTATTGGTAGCTGTTACGATTTTGTTGGTACTACTTGTAGGCATAAAAGTGTAGAAGTGACTTTTTTGGCCATTTGGAGGCAGCAGAACATATTTGAGGAGCCCATATTCACATTTTGGGGGATTTTCTCCATGCATTAGTGTGTTGTAGAGCTGCTTCTAGTGCAGAACCACTGCTTGTTACCTGTCTGAAACAGCTCATTTATTATTTTATTTTATTCTGTTACTTATCGATGTCACCATGTAACACATTTGCATAACACCTGCCTAGCAGTTGGTTGGACAGTGTCTTCACTGTCTGCCATCATTTCCTTGCTACAGCTACTTTTAGTAAAGCTGCTTCTCTGTACTCCTAGATCTGAAGTCACGGTAGTTAACCTGGAGGGAGGCCTTAAAGAGACAGGAGCTTCTCGCGAGAACACAGGGATTCTGAGTGACAGAGTGCTCTGGCGGTCATTCGGGATTCATAGCACTGTAGTTACATTCGTAACTTTCGTTCTATTTCATCCCTGCTGACCACCAGAGGCGGTGCTTCAAGCAATGAATGTCTTATACCAGCAAAGTCACGAGGAATCCTGATTACAAACCTTAATGAGTAGAATCAGAGGATTCCGACAACAGAACCACACCCAGTGGATGGGGGGTAGCAACATTCACCCTGTAAAACCTTGAGAATGTTCCTGATGAGGCCCATGAAGCCGTGGTACAAATATCTTCTAAGGGTGCTCCTCTCAGGGCAGCCCATGACGTAGAGACACTCCTGGTGGAGTGGCATTTCACGGCTGATGGCATAAACGGTTGCTTGCCCCATATGCATGGCAAATGACGTCCACAGTCCAGTGGGACAGTCGCTGTTTGGAGAGAGCACAACCTTTCTTAGGACCACCAAAACAGAGAAAGAGCTGTTCTGACCGCTGAATGCATGCTGAGGCTGTGATACAAGCTCTTAGGCCCCGCACAGGGCACAACAGTTCCAGCATGCCCCCCCCCCCCCTCCTGGTGGGGGGTAAACCGTGCAAGCTGTATAGGCTGGTTGAGGTGCGACTGGGACAACACCTTAGGGAGGAACGCTGCATTCGTCCATAGAGTTACCCCTGAACCATCTGAATTCCACCTCAGACACGAGTCACTGACAGAAAGGGCGTGCAGCTCACTGACGCGTTTTGCCGAGGTAATAGCCAGGAGGAATGCAGTCTTGTATGACACCCACTTCAGTTCCGCTTGTGCCATGGGCTCAAAGGGAGGCCTGTCTAGTGCCTCCAGCACCAGAGGCAGGTCCCATGATGGAGCTCTTGGAGCTCTCGGGGGATGCAACCTCTGAGCTCCCCTGAGGAAAAGGGACACCAGACTGTGGCTCCCGACTGTGCCATTATCGACTCTAGCATGTCTAGATGATATCGCTGCCACGTACACTTTCAGGGTAGAAGGAGACCGACCTTTGTCCAGAAGAAACTGCAGGAAATCCAGAATAGTAGGCACAGAGCAATGTACTGAATTTTCACTCTGGCTCTCACACCATTCAGAAAATAATTTCCACCTGTTGTCATACTGCAGCTGAGTGGATGAAGGTCTGGCGTTCAAGATGGTATGCCTAACAGGGTCCACACAGCTGCTCAGCAGCAGTTCGGGCCCTCCAACAGCCAAACGCACAGTTGGAAGCGTTGAGGATTGGGATGCCAAATCCAACCTCCTAGTTGTGACAGTAGGTCTTCCCTGTCGGGGAGTCGCCATGGCACGCCGCAACGGAGTCTGTGCAGGAGAGGAAACCATGTCCTCGCTGGCCAGAAGGGGGCCACCAGCAGAATCCTGTGACCCTCGTGAAGAATTCTCTGAAGCGTCGAAGGAATCAGTGGCAGTGGTGGAAAGGCGCATAGGAGACCCTCCGACCAGAGGTGAGCCAGTGCATCCTGGACTAGAGGGCTGATCGTCTCCGCCAAGGAAAACCAAAGGTGGCAGTGGGTTGACACCTCTGATGCAAAGAGGTCCACCTCTGCTCTGC